GTGGTGCCTGAGCATCCACTATATATACATGCTCTGCCCCGGCACAGCAATTGTCACAGTTACTGAAGAAAGGCCCAGAAGGTGAGCTACGTCAGCAGATTTACTGATGAAGAAATGATAGCTTTAGCCTGTGCCCAAGCAACGCTTCCACGAACTTCACCTAAGCCAGGGTGGTTATCCTTGCATGAGGATTTGAAGATAAAAAAAGCACATTCCAGAACAATTGTGCTTTGTTTCTCCTTTCCCCTAAGCTGTGTTCTTTTCCTGTGTCTTTCAGGGCATTTTTTAGGATAGTACTTCGGTTAGGTTCCAGGCATCTGGCAAATCCTTTGGAGTTTAAATTAAAGCGGGTTTATAAGGTGTCCCCCGTTTTGCAGAGTTTCCTTTGCCCAATCTAAGTTGTTTTTGAAAACCAGTTATAAAGGCATGTAGCAGTTTTCATCACACATTACGGCATGTTTGATTTAACACAATCATTCCCTATTACCAGCGCATTACTGTGCCAGACATACTAGAACATGCACATCAATTCCTGCTTTCAGGGAGTTTGCTTGTTGAATATTGGTTTGTTTATCACATATTTGGGGGCACTTGTTATGTGCCAAGGAGCCTTGATGGCATAGTGGTTAAGAGTTCAGCTGCTAACCAAAAGGTCAGCAGTTTGAATCCACTAGGCACTCCTTGGGAACCATATGGGGTAGTTCTACTCTGTCTTATAGGGCCACTTTGAGTCAGAATTGACTCAATGGCGATGGGTTTGGTTTCATTTGGTTTGGTTTATTATGTGCCAGCCACCTTGACATGGGCTGGGGATATTACAATAAATAAAGCAGACTTGACTCCTGTCCCAGGAGCTTGCACTCTAATGAGGGTGACAGAAGAGTAGGCAATTAAAATACAGCCTATGTCTATAGCAAGGATGGTACAGGCTTTATTGTGACTGGACTTGCCTGGTGCTATAGGAGCACATAGGAATGCGTCCTTCCCAGCCAGAGAAGCATCAGAGAAGCATTCAGATAGTCGTAGGTAAATGTTATCGGGAAGCCAGGCATTGAGGTATCAAAGTTAATGCCTGAAAGGTAAGAATTATCCCAATAAAAGAGGTAGACGTAGGAAAGTAGAATGTTCTAGGCAGAAGATACAGCTTATAAGATTTCCTGAAGGACAGAGTTTGAAGAACTAAGTGTAGAGTTGGGAGTGGTGCAGATGAGGCTGGAGAAGGCATAAGAGGTAGACGGCAGAGGGACTTGTAAGCCATGTTACAGAACTTGGACTCTGTGCTGAGGGTAATAAGAAATCTTTTCATGGTTCTAGACCAGGGATGACCCAAATATATTTGTGTAGAAGATTGCTTTGACTATTGTGTTGGGATTGGGGTGGAGACGAGCATAACCAGAGGCAGGAAGGTGTGTTATAAGCTGTTGCAGTAAATCAAGCCGAAGATGATGGTCTCAACTAGGAAGTGGCAGAGGCTAGCACTGTATGGATTTGCAAGATAACAAGGAGGAGAAACCCTAGGACTTGGTGAGAGACTGAGTAAGTGACAGATGAGATGTAATAGGAAAGCGAGAGGGAGGAGCTATTCTTGGCCAACCAGGTAGAAGGTGATACAATTTACTGAGAGAGAAAAGACAGAAGGAGGACTAAGTGGGAGAGAAAAGCCAAAGAGTTCAGTGTGAGATATGTTGAGTTTAGCCCTATGGGGCAGTTCTACATCCAACTGGACTTGTCTAGGAAGCAGTTTGATGAATAAATCAGAAGCCCTTCAGAGATCTGTGATGGAGACACTTATCCAGGACTTATCAACATATTGGTCTGATATTCTTCACCTGGTGAATTGAAGGGAAGAAAGGTTTTTCTGGATCCCTAGGGGTACATGTATAGGTTTCAGAGAATCTCTGAATCTCCTAAAATGTTTTCAAATTTTTTCGTTTATTTTGTGTGTGTTTATTTTTTTCTAGGGGGAAAAATGATATCAGGTTGCTTTAAAAGGCCTGTGATTCAAAGGTAGTTAAGGACCACAGAGGGAAATTGAAGGATCTACTTGGATGCGAGTACCTGGGACCAGTGTGCTGACTATGCTGGGCCAGAACCCAGGGAACAGCACATGAAAGGAACAGGCAGAAGAAGAGGGTCCTGATGTGAGCCTGAGAATCTAGGGGGAGAGAGAGTTTCAGGGAAAAAGGAGTGGTCCATAGATTCAAATACCACTGAGAGGTCACGTAAGACAAACAAATGCATTCACATAAGACAAACGAATGCATTTTCCCCCAAGGAAGTCATGGGTGGCCTTGGCAAGAAAGGTTTCATCAGTTGGAAGGAGTGAGTATGAGATGAGAAAGTGGAGATGGAAGGTATTGGAAACTCAAAAAGAGAGAGGAGAATGCTACAGAGGTGTCTGGGGAAAACCAGAATGCAAGGCAGGTATTTCCCCCCTTAAGATGGGAGAGACTTGTGCAATGAGTAAAAACCTCTAAAAACGTAAATAGCCTGAAGTAACAATTAACCAGACCAAACATACAGTAAGCAATTAAAGAAATCAGAAGAAAAGAGATCATAATGCCTACAATGGTCAGGACAGATTTCAGAGAACGGCCATAAACTGGTTTATAAGCATGATTAATAAGCTTGTGAGGATGAACACTTAATTGGAAGAGACCTGAGAAAAATAGGACTAAACATTCATCTAGTCTCTTTTCACCTTCTTTTGTTGTTCAAGGAATAGTTTCTCAGCTAATATAATGTCTTTAGAACGGAAATCACCTGTAACTCGGAGTGACTACAATATGAAAGTATTAACAGTTACAAGATATATAATCCAGTTTGCAATTACCTCTTGCATTTTTGGTCTTCACACGTGAAAACAGCAAATTCTTTGGGGTCACATTGTTCATTTCCTCAACTGGAATATTTAAACAGGGTGCTAAAAACAAATCAGTATAAGTTGGCGCTTCTATCACTTAGGTCTCAAACATCCTCCATATATATAAACATACCCATAAATAAAGGTGCTAATTGTGGAAAGAGAAAGATCCTTTAATAAGCAACTTAGCACAAGTAACTCCCTGCATATAGAACATTGTTATAAAACTTAGCTCAAAATTGAACACTGTCTATTTAACCTAATGGAATTATTTGTTTCATCTTACCAGGCACTCATTTTTAAAGATTCTACAAATGATAATTCTAAATGGTGTTGTTTATGTGTCCGAGTAGAATAGGTGTTGTTTAAATAATAGCCGTCCACCTTAATACAATTCATAACTATATAGAGGGCATAGTGTAGCTAGAGGTATTACAAATGGTGGTAGACGCCAAAGGAAGCTGAGGCTGGGTCTTAGCCTTGGGAGGTTGGTGTGGGTGGCCATTATTTTAGAGGCTCCACCTTGTAGTTAAGAGAGACCCTTGTAGCTCTCAATAATTGCCTTAGCCATTCCTTGGCTTCCTTGTCCTAATTATGGGGTAAGTGTTCCAAACAGATCACAGATGCCCAAAAGAGAAAAAGACATTATAGAAACCAACATCAGTTGTTGTTAAAGAATCTCATTTTCTTACATAAGAAAAAGTACCCGATGACCTTTCCAGACTCATGACATCTGCCACAAAAGAAAAAAAGTAATAAATCCACAATATTTCTTTGTCTTTGTGAAACTTGGCTTTCTATATGTTGTCCTAGTTCCTGGAAGGCACCAGGCTCTTTTAAAAAACAAAAAAAAAAGTAGCACTGTCAGACTCTGACCCTGAGAGATCTAGGTAGTTTGTTCCCTGGCCTGGTACGCGGCTCTCTCCTTGGTATGTACACATCTCTGCCCACGTACATTATTCTGACCTGTGGTCATGGTCGTTCTGTCAACTGAGGTTTTACCTTTCAGAGGATGCAGCCCGTGCTTGGTGTGGTACAATTTATAACACGCTGCCTCAACAAATACCAAGTTGGCCTTTGCAATTTTGTAGTCAAAGATTTTGGATATAGGGATGTATTTTTGTGGAAATTGCATATTCCATTGTTGCCTCTCATATATCATCACAGCCTTCGTCACAGCCACTGAAGACAAGGCCTTTGCTAATGATCTCAAACCCCTACCACACATAGATTTTTATTTTCTGGGATTCTAAGCACTTTTATCAAAGTCATTAGGACCATTTCTAAGAGACGTTAGTGACTGTCTTCTTTGCCATGATTAGGAAGTCTGAGGATTGCTGTCTCACTGCCCTTGAAGTGTGTTAGAGGCTTGAATTGAAAACCTCTTCTGATCCAAGGAAATTTCATTTTAGAGCTTAGAATGAGAACACCTCTTGGGACTATAATAATAAGTCCGAAAAACAAATTGTTTTAGTGTTATCTTTCTTTTAAACAAATAAGAATTATACTTGCAGTTAAGAAAAAAAAAAAAAGATAACATTGTTCTTTAGACCCAGATGAAATTGTCATAGGTTGGATAACATCACAGAGAAACCTTTCACTAATCAGTTGCTGTTGAGTTCATTTTGACTCATAGCGACCCCACGTGTGTCAGATATAACAGTATAACAGTGCTCCATAGGATTTTCAATGATTGAATTTTCAGAAGTAGATCACCAGGCCTCCTCCAAGGCTCTTCTGGGTAGACTCAACCTCCAATCTTTTAGGTTACCAGGCGAACGCTTAAGCATTTGCGCCACAAAGAGATGCCAATATTTTGGATACCTGTTGGAAAACCCTGATTTCTGAGCACAATTTCTGGTTTATGGAACCTCTAGGCCTCCACTGCACCGACTGGTATTAGGATTCCTCAGAGTGTGGTGTGAGGCTGGGCTGCATTAGAGCACTCCAGGCACTTGTTGAAAATCCAGATTCTGAGGGCAGGGCCTGGGAATCCATACGTTACCAAGAGCCTCTCTGGAGTACTGATGCCCTGCTCGGTGTGAGAACCACGAGCCCAGGAGATAAGCCTGTAGAGCTCAGCAGTCACTAAGGCCAACTTGATTTACCGTGAACTCTTTGTCTCTTCTCTGCCTAGGTGCAAATGTAATCTCCATGCCACTGTGTGTGTGTATGACAACAGCAAATTGACATGTGAATGTGAGCACAACACTACAGGCCCAGACTGTGGGAAGTGCAAGAAGAATTATCAGGGCCGGCCTTGGAGTCCAGGCTCGTATCTCCCCATCCCCAAAGGCACTGCAAATACCTGTGAGTAACTTTGCTCAGTAACACCATATTTTGTGCACAATGACCTGATAGTTCTCTCCATTTCACTTGCAATTGTCATTTTACTCCTGTATGAGTTGTCCCATTCCTCTTCAAAATGCAACTAAATCTCTAGTCCCCATTTTGCCACTCATAAACACTTTTTAACACTCTCTTTCAACATTTGCATTGAACGCGTTGGGAAATCATCGAGACTACAGAAGCAATTTGTTCTAAGAGGATGAGACAGGAGGTACTTTTTTCCTCCCCCAAATTAATTTCCTATTAAAATAACAAAGCCCTTCAAAACTCCCAACTCAAACTTAATTTTAGCCATAAGTAACTTCCAGAATTTCTCTGAATGTTTACAATCCCACTCCCATATCAGGTAACCTGAGAGATGCTTTGTCTAGAAGATCTTTCCCTCTCCATTTTTAGCTAGGGCCTCACTTTGCATGGTGAAATAATCAGCTTTTTCCAAACTCCAGCAGTTGAGGCTAGTCCTGCCAGGGATCCTGTCAGTAGAGGCCACCTGTGGATAAAGAGCATGACTGGATAAAGAGTAAGCCTGAGAGGATCACATTAAGAAAAGGGATGTTTGTGTGCATGTGAAAAGAGCACAGGCATTACCCGTGTTTATAGGAACCACCTGTGATGCCCCATTATCACTCACATGTTCGCCCCACCAAAATACCTGCCCATCCACAGGAAAGCATGCCCTGACATGTTCAAGGAGGAAAGTGATTACTTCCAGAATAAATTGCCTAACTCCAAGGATGGATTTGATTAGCCCACCGGCAAAAGCCCACGGTTTGCCCTCTTTAAAGAAAGACGAGGTTAAATATATACCCAGCCAGTGACAAGTAACCGAAGCTGCAGGTTAGTGAGCAGTCAGGGGGATGAGAACTTGAAAAGACACCAGCTCCATGCAAGACTCAGAATATTATCAGCCACTTTAAAGCAGCAGCTATGAGGACCCAAAACGTAAAAACTGATACCACAGGAACCAGGGCCTTATCAAGTTAAATGTTAGGAGTAATGGACTGAGTGACAAGTTATGAAGTGTAGGGGCATGAAATTATGATAAAACTTCTATTAAGCAGAAAAAAAAATCTTCAAAAGGTTAAAAAACATCCCTTTTTATAAGGGTATTCTGTTTCTTTCTGTTAGAGAAAAAAATGATAGTCTAGCTCCTAAAATTAGTACATTAAAACTCTGTTGAGCAGAAATGTTAATTTTTCAAGGTAATTTTATCAACAGAGACTCTGTGGGCTTTCCTCAATTGTTGAGGGTCAGAGATTCATTAATTCACAAGGAATCTCAGGAGGTGATTTGTTACAATACCCTATGGCTGGCTACCTAAGAATCCCTATCACTGCAGTTGTCAAATTTAGTTTAAACATTTCTCAAAATGAAAATGGCTCAGGTTTCATATTCAAGGTTGGCTGCTTCTTTGGTGAGGCAGGATGGAAGAGAGCAGAGTTCACAAACTGACTGGCATTTTGGCCCATCTTCAGGGAGGGCCAACTTGCTGAGGCCACCGGAGAGGAAGTTGGGGTAGGCTGCTGTTGAAGGCATAGGCTTCCGTTCCAACATGACCCCGTTCCTTTCTACCCATAACAGTATTTCAAAGTCTTCATTTCAAGGCACTTTCAGTGTGAGGACTTTCTCAGGCCAGTCAGGCTTTCTCACTGAAATGAGGAATTGTTATATTCTTCCTAGAAATGAACTTATACACCCCTAATCCTTTGTATGTTGTAGATCATCAACTCACTCTTTGGCCAAAGGAATATAACTGTTCAATTTTCCTTGTAGGTACCATTGCCCATCCATTCCTCAGTTTTTACTGACCTTCTCTAGACATTCTGACTTTTCCACATCTCTTAAAATACAAAGTCAACAAATGGACACAATAGCCAATGGAGTTCAAGTCAATGTTTTAATCCTCCTTATGGCAGAGATTAAATGAAATATTTGAGATTATCTGCAGTGGTTCAGTCTTGCAATAGAAAAGTCTTTCAATGGAAAGACTTGAGCTGGATCTCTGGCACACCAGACTATGCTTTAAATCATCCAGAGGTGGAAGTAAGCAACTTAGTGGTTTGTTGCATAGGCTCCAGGATCAAATGCCAGTTCCTACATTCATTAGCTGTGTGACCTTGAAAAGGAAGCTAATGTCTCCATGACTCAGTTTCCCATCTGTACATGAGGCTAATAATAGTTTTGCCTCATAGGGATTTTGAGAGGATTGAATAAGCTAATGCATGTAAAGTATTTAGCATAACACCTGTCACAAAGTAAGTGTTCAAAAATAATTCTACTTTTAGGATTTTTTTTTCATAAGGCAGTCTTGTCCATTGTCAGACAGTTTTGTTATAAAAATTATTTCTTAACATCAATATTAAGTGTCTCCTAGTTTCCAATCATTTTTTTTTTCTTTTTAAGTAGTTAAAGAACTATATTGACCAGTTTCTTTTCTTCTCCAAGTAAGACATCATCAAGTATAATTTTAATATGATAAGGTTTTCACATGTCCTACCTAGTTGCCTGCTTTGGAAGTCCTCTAATTTATAGTGTGGCATTTCAATGATTCTCAGATGATTCTCATTTCATATTGGTTTTTTTGTTACATACATGCCCACATGCACACACACACTGAGACCACTCTACTTGGTGCTTTTGGAGTCAGTTATGTAATAGGGACCTCTAGGATATACCGTATCCTAACACAACACCTATGAAATAAAAAGCAGTGGTGCAACCTTTGGTTCCTCAACATTAAGCCCTCAGTGGACTGGAAATGGCACTGGTATTAGATAATCTCTACACTTAGCATAATGTCCAGCAGGCAGAATAATTTTTGAAGAGGAAGATCAGTTCCTGACCACAATCACCACAAGTTTTAACAAGAGAACTAGGAGACCTTCATTAAACCTGGAAATTACAAGATCCCCCTTCACGGACACCAAACCCTTCACTCAAGGTTACCCTAAACTTAGACCTTCTTGGGAGTCATAACAGCTTTGAAGGTCCTACATTCCAGAGCAACTCCAAGGCCACCTTTGTATAGAACGTGTAGAGGCAGGAGAAAAGAGTAAAGAACCCCAACACTATAAAACATAGCCACACCATTTCAATATGCTTTTCACTACAATAAAGTTGGCAAAGGCAGAAGTAATATCTTTGGTGATGATATTTTTATTCATTGCACTTTTATTTAAGATTTCTTATGTTTTTTGGGTCTTTTAAAATCATATGTGTGTGTATCAAAAATCTTCTCCTTATTTTTCTACAAAGCTTACTTTTACCTGTAAGACATCTTTCTTCTTCTTCCTATTGATCTTCATTCTATTTTCGATAGAGTTCTATTTTGAATGTCATTTGAATTTCATTCCTGTCTTCCAAATAAATAGCAACTCTATCCAACTTCATGCTTAATCAGGATTCTCTTGATTCCTATTGTCCAGTTCATGAATAAAAGTATTAAGTGACACCTCTTTAAACTCTGATCTCTTTGGAGTAATAATACATGATATATTTCTACAGATAGATGCTTAAAACTTCATAATCACCCTTTAGGAACCATAACTCCAGAAAAGAAAATACAACATCATCTACACCTTTGTTTTCCAAGCTATGTTCTACAACCTGTAGAAGAATTCCGTGGTCAAATAAATTTGGAAAATGCTGTATACTCTACAGACTCTTAAATACACACATTACCTTATTAAAAACATTTGAGAAGCCTTAGAGTAAAGTAACTTATTTTACCCAGTATTTCCAAACTTATTTTTTTCATGGAACACTTAGTAACGTTCTATAGGACATTATTTTTGGGGCATGCTGCTCTAAACAATTTCTTCCAACCTAAGTGATGGAAATGTCATGGGGACAGACAGAAAGCCCAGCTAGTTCAGCTGTATTCAATCTTTTGCTTTCCTCTTGCCTACATGGCCCAATATTCTTCAAAGAAAAGAAATTAAATTGGTCTGACACCGATAATATTTGTTTGTTCAGAAATCCGACTTGAATTGTTATACCACATCTAGGACTCCTCTGAGTGATAGCAAGTAATTTGATGATTGCTCTATTATTTTTTTTTCTCTGACATTAAATTTGCATTGACCAATTTATTTCTTCCCAAACGTGTGTGTGTGTGTGTGTGTGTGTGTGTGTGTGTGTGTGTGTGTATACCAGGCAATTTCTTAAGTGCTTTGCATACATTAATTCATTCTAAAATCACAGTTATCTTATAAGGTAGATACTATTATTATGTTCATTTTACAGATGTGAAATCTGCTAACTGCAGAGATAAAGTAACTTACCTAAACTTTACACAGCTAGTAAGGCTGATAGGGAGGACTTGAACCTAAGTGTGTCTGAATCCAAGGACTCCACATTGCTTGATATTGCTTCTCAGCTTAAAGTTCAGGGTACTATTTATTTTCACTGACTTCTTCTGTTCTCTGTTGGGGTTTGGGCTCCATTTTAACACTTGTTGGACTAAGTCAGTCTTCTCTAAAACTGTTCTCTCCCTAGATTTCTTCTCGTTATGTCTCTACCCTAAAAGACTCCTCTTTTATCCCTCCTTTAAATTTCCTGCCTCTTCTCAGCCTACACTCTTTTCCTGGGCATTCCCATCTTTTTCTACGGGTTTAGCTCTTAGTATTACTGGTTTAATCATTATCAGCAATTCTAGCCTTAATTGTCCTAATGATCCAAACTGATTTTTCCAGGTGTCTGTAAAAATCTCAAAGTCAACATGCTACAGACTGAATTCATTACCTTTCCTCCAAATCATCTTTATCTTCACTCTCTATTGAAATTCTGCTGATTTTTCAAGACCATGCCTCCATGCCAACTCTTAAGTGAAGCCTTCCTAGACTCTCACATGCAAAATTCATTGTTCCTCCCTCCCTAGATTCATTATGTGTTTATAAGTGTAGACTTACAATTGGTTATAATAATGATATGAAAATAATAAAAGCTACTATGTATTAAGC